TAGACTATAGTTAATTATTGTATTGTAATTTATGCATAGTTTGTCTGATGTGAAATGTTAATTACCTACTTAATGTAAATGCCATACTTTAATATGCTTTAATCAAATTATTTAGTTTCTGAGATAATTGAATCTCACTTTCATTTGTTAATATCTCTTCAAGAGATGATAAGGTGAAGAACAAAGAGGAAGCCCTCGAGGCCAAACACTAGAATGTAGTTTTGTAATATTTCTAGTTGCTTTTGTTTTGTGTACTGAAATATATGTATGTGCGTGCACACACGCGCCAACATAGGATGATTGTAATGTGCTAATTATAGATCATTTGCATATGAATCCTTGTTGTTAACTTAGGAATTTTTAGGTTATTAGCCTTAAGCTTTTAAGAGAAGACCAACCATACAAATGTGTGCCTGATGAGGATTGATGTTTAAATTGTTAAATCATACATGGTTATATGATAATAGTATTTTGTTAGTGGTTTGTGCTTGGTAATAGCTCAAGAGGGAAGACACTTGTGTGATTGTGCATGGAGCATAAATGCTTGTCTTGGCACTAAGTGTTCCGAAATCCTCATTTTGTTATCAAATTGCATTGTATCCAAAGCCATCAGCTAGATTTCTAAATTATTTACTTGTGGGCGTTTAGATCACCTTAATCAAAGGTTTGGGCATTTAATTAGGTGCTTTGAAAGTTTGTAATCATTGCTACATAATTCTATGCTATAAATGCCTATATGCTGCAGCAGATGTTTGCATCCTAGTTGTTTGCAATAGATGTGCATAGTTTTGCTGTAATATATATTTTTCCCCTATTTGAATTGGTTTTAAATGCTCAACCTATTTCCATGATTCTACAACTTTCCTTACTCTAAATTTCAAGTGTTACTACTTTATTATTTATTTTTCAAATGATTTTTAGGATTCCAAGATTTATAAAATTATTTCAAAGGCTTGATTGTTGATTCTTTTAACCTTTGCCATGATTGACCTTTATTCGTAAGGGTTGATTTATTAGATGAGTTTAGATTTGGGTAATAATGGAAGTCATTATAGAGGGCGAGTGTGGTACACAGCATAAGAGAGAAGCTTAAATGAAGAGGAAGAAGAAGGACAAACGGGAACGAATGCTCTTTTTAATAAGGGCATTTTAGTAAATGCATATCAAAATTTATTTACCATCAAAGCCTATGAGACTTTAAAATTATTTTTACATTTCATGGGATTGCTTCGTAATTAAAATCTTTCTATGGGATCCCAATATGATTTTTCCTTTTTTTAACCAATAAAAATTAGTTGAGTTAATAAGGATTTGGTTCACAATCTACGAAGTATTGGTTTAAATCCCATTGCTAAAAAAAAGAACTTATTGATGGATAATTTGTGAGTACATCTTAAGTGCTATTTAAACATGGAGACATACTCTAGCCCTTAATTTGTGAGCTCTAAGAACCCAATTTGTTTAAACTTTTCTTTATAAAAAAATGATAGTTTTTCTACAAAAAAAAACTTTAATAGTTTAGGCTCAAATTTAGCTTTTTTTAAATTTTCTTTACTATCTAAATTTAGATTTTTTTTAGTTTTCTCTAATGACTTATGGCTCACAAAAAACATAAGGTTAAATAAAAATTTTTTATCCTAAACTATAGAGTTAGGGACAGTTTGAATCCTAAACTCATATGTAGTATATTTTAAAACCTTAATAATTAAATTTGGTATAATTTTACCCCCATTGTTAAATTGATACAACGTTGACCATCAGTTGAAGAGGGAGAAATTTTGTTTTGACCTAGTGTTGCTAAGTGTGCATTTTCAGTTCCTCAACAAGGTACTCTCTTATCCCTTTCCTTTATTATTATCATTAGCACCACCTACCATATCCACCTTGTTACCACCATCAACCAATACCTCCATCTCATCTATACTAAGCACCACTATCCTCTTGTCCCTCTCTCAGTCATCAATTTCTCTACTAACACCCGCCCCTTGTCGTCCCTCACTATCATTATCATTAAACCCCTTTCCACTCCATCATGACGTCAATGTGTCCTATTCTCTGACAATCCCTTCAATTATACTTGCAAATCTCACTATAGGTACACCACGACGCACTATCTGAGGCTTAAAGATGTTCTTACAGCTTGTATAGGAAAGTCTTACTTGCATAGTTGTGAGAATATACCTCTACGATACATCGATGAAAATAAGGGCAACAAGACATTTTTACACTGCAAGCAAAATCACAACTAGCAAAAATAAAATTAGCTAGAGGTAACAAGCAAAAAGCCAAAATCAAAATTAGCCAACAAAAACAAGAAATTCAAAAGTAAGAAATTTCATATCTAAAAATATGAAATTATTAAAAAAAAGGGTTTTAGAGTGATTTTAGCAATATATATAGCATTGAGAGAGAGAGAGAGAGAGAGAGAGAGAGAGAGAGATTGATTAATGGAGGGTTGTAGTTGAAGGGAATATTGAATAATAATAGCATACAGGTTGAGATTGAAACTTGTATCTGCAACCAGGGCACTGCTTAGATCCATATAATTAATGCTCTTTTAGCTTAGCATCTATCACATTAGAGTTCTTCAAATGTGAAGACAATTGATATAGCAAAAAGTGCATATTGTAAAGCAAGAAATATAAAAATAGATATACTCTACTATAAAAGAATTGAATTTTTGGCAATTAAAGTTTGGGGAATTTTTGCAAAATGGTCTTAGTAATGTTATGGATAAAAGCAAAAGAGAGAGGGAGAATAGGGAGAAAACATGCCATCTAGGAATGCAAAGAAGCAGAAATGTAAAAAGAAAAAAATTCTATGCTACTTATCTGACCCCTTACTTAAAGTAATGGGTGTTTGCTTCAATTTAACATTGGGGCAAAATCATTCTAATTTTAATTGTTTAGAGTTTAAAATATATCACATACAAATTTAGGATTCAAACCATCCTTAGCCATATAATTTATGGTCTAAATTGCCATTTAACCTAAAAATATAACATATCGGAAGAAAACTTAAAAAATATTTAAAAATTACCGCACACTAAAATTTTCAAAGTGATATTGAGATTTGAGCCTATGTTATTAGAGTCCAAATAAAATCCTTACTTTCTATATCAGTGTTTTTTAAATTATTATAGTGGTATATGATAAAAAATCTGGAAAGTAAAAAAACATTATTTATGATTTATGAATAATTTAACTTATTATATATATATATATATTATATTGAATTCTGATCTAGTTAGTATATTTTAACTTTAAAAAATTGTGTATATTTCCATATGATTAAAACTTGGGTTAAGGTCCAAACACGTCATCGTACTATTTCTCTACGAGCACTAAGCACTTTATAATTTTAAATGGGGTGATTTTCACCCTGAAGTATTTTTTTTTACAGTCCAAGAATGGCCTTTTGTTAACTAGGCATGAAATCCATCATTATTTGCTAATGTGGCAACTTGTTGGGCCCACACATGGTGCTGACTTGGCTTTAAAGGTGGTTAGTTTGAACTTTTTTGACCAGATACATGTCTCCCTCTTCTTTAAAACATCAAAGGGTGACCCCATTCAAAGGAAACATTCATTGTGTTTAAAGTCCGTATCTGTTATATTGGCTCTAGACAGTCTACTTTTGAATTTTTTGACTAAGTACTCTAATAAACCTTGGGAAAATCATAATCCAATCTTGCTTTTGAATCTAGATTGAGGGCCAACAAACCAAATTAAAAAGCACAACCAGCAAATCTATGTATCAACTATCTAATTTATTTTGATACTCAGTATGAATCTACCCGAAAAATGAATAGAACAAGAAAGGTAACCAAAACGAGAAATCCAAAAGATGAGGAAAGTAAAATCTAGATAATGACAAGTCCCTTAGAGACTTTGGTCAAGGAATGGATGTATGCCTCTAAAATAAAGTCGTGAAGTCGAAAGGAGAGGCAATTAAACATAACAACACACATAAAAGAAAATAACCAATAAAATGCAACAATTTAAAATCAACTTTCGATAACACACAACAGAGGATCACCTTTAGGCATAGGCATAGTACAATGTGAGCCATCATTGAGGAAGTCCTGGTAAATTTAAGGATGGGCATAAGAAATGGTGTCGTGGTAGGAAATCAAAGGGATTTGGCGAGAAGAGTAGCAATGGTGGTATTGGAGAGGAAGAAGATGAAGGGAGGGTTGGTGAGAAAGAGAGAGAATAAGCGAAGGAAGGAGAGAGCAAAGGGAAAGCAAGAGAAGAGCCAAGAGAGGAGGAGTAAGGTGAGGTAGAGCTCGAAAATGTGAAGTATTTTGGCAATGATGATAAAAAGGTTGAAAAAGCCCATAAGAGAGAGTGTGATTTTGAAATGGCAAGTGAAGGGGACATGTATTGGTCAAAAGGGTTAGACTAGTCACCTTTGAAGTCAAGTTAGCATCATGCGTGGGCTTCACAGGATTTCATGCGTAGCTAGTATAAGGATATTTTTGAATCTTGAAAAAATATTTTAAATAAGAATTATTTCGCTTACAAATATAAATTGTTTAATAGTTCAAAAAAAGAGTACATGAATTAATTAACATTAAGCCTTACAACTATTGATCAGCCCTAGTGCCGGACATCCTCAAAGTTAAAATAATAAAACGAACAATCTAGATATTATTTTATCCTTTTAGGCTTTCAACCTACTATTTAGCTTATTTTAATTAATTTGTAATTTGTAATGCTACCCAATTCCAAAGATGCCCTCTATGTTTATTTTTCATTCCTAAATTATCCCTCCCTCCCTCCGCAGACAGAGGCACCCGCATGCGCTGTCATTTTCTGGATAAGTCACAGTCGTCTACAAGGAGCGCAGAAACATCCAGTATCTTTACACCACGTGGACGCTGGGAACATACCCTCAAATAGTCAGAGCTCTCACATGCCGACACGTGTCGAGGTACGATGCTCCCAGAAACTTTCTCTCTCTAGAAACACCACCAATCCACCATATTTCAAACCCTGCCCGGTCCCTCCTACCCTTTTATGCTCTCAACTCTCTCTCTCTCTAACTCAATCACTCTGCTACCCTCTCTTTTCCCCTCACTCTCTCTTAGGGTTTCTCCGCATTGACGAGCTTTCGGAGTCAAGCTCGTAGTAGATGGGTAACCTCTCCGATTTCGCCTAAAGTTCTTTCTTTTTCTTTTCCTCATGTGTTTTTATTATCTGATCAGTCGCAAAATGAAAACTTTGACATTTGTCAGTTTTCAGTATCGATCTTTCTTTGTTTTTAGTTGCTATTTAATTGACCTTCAGCTTAGCTTTTTTTCTTTCTTTTGACTTGGTCTGTATGGCCCCTATGTTTCTTTAGTTGTAGGAATTAGTTAAATTATGTGGTATTTGGAAGAAGCCGGAAGTTAATTTGATTTTTATCATGTGGGTTGGGACCATCAATCGGTTGGCATCTGGATGGATGATTTACTCAGATTGGATTGTAAAATTAGCCGTCAGTTTTTTAAACTATTGTTGGGATTGATCATGGCTATATTTTGGCTATGCATGTGCTAATTACATGAATACAACAGCGACAAAACAAGTGAGTATGAGTACGAAGGAGAGGGAACGTGGTGTTTTTGATTTTTCTTGCATGTGATTGTTTATGAAGTAATATTTGGGAGAGAATAGTGGAGGTGTCTTTAATATCAACTATGGAGTCTGGACTGCTCCAATGGAAACGGTTTCCAGAGCTATTTTAGAAAGGGATAAGAACTCTATGTCTAGGATGCTTATTTGTTTCGTTGCTTTGTCCTTTTACTCGTACCCCCTGGGAGGTGGCTGGGTTGGGTTTTTGAAACTGGAACATTATGAAAAAGTTCTTTACCATCATGATTTCCATTTCAGTTTGGTGAAATGAAGTGATAAATGAAAAGCCATAACCACAAGTAATTTTCTCAGTAGCACTTGCATAATTTTTACTGCTCTTTGTACTTGTTCCCCAGTCTTCTCTACTGTATAGACGTTAGGTTTTGACCTTTCAGCTCTGGCATTGTCCTTAACTGACTAAATTGATGTGGTCTGTTAAGCTCTGGGCCCTGTTTGGTTAACAATTGGAAAGGAAAGGGCGAAGATTTTTTTTTTTTTTTGGGGGGGGGGGCAATGTCTCGTAAAACTGTAATCATTACTCAACTGTTTTTTTTTTAATCTCTTTTTAATACATTCTGGAGGAAGGGGTATAAGGGGTTATTTTTCATCTTCAAAATCACTTTATTCATTTCATTTTCATTCCCTTTTCTATTCCATTTTTTATATCAAATGGGTATATGACATGTTTCCCTTGCTAAAAACTCTACCTTTAAAGTGATCTAAATTTTTTGCTTTCATTAGCCATTAGCATTCACTGATTGAAGTGAGGAAATGCCTACCTCCTATCAAGCCACAGCACTCTTGGTTTTCATCAATATGAATGTTTCTCTCTGTTTGTTTGAAAATATGTTATTTGTGGAGGGTAAAAATTTTAAGGGAAGAGATGCATGTTTGGTTTAAACAATGTGGAGACTGTTGATATCCCTCAGTCTCTCACCTCATGCCTATAAAAATAATCAAGAGTCAGACTAATTTAGTGAATGTATATATGTTTTTATTTTCCACATAATCTTTTTCTTCCAGCGCTTCTTTACCAAACTTTGGCGTTCTCTGTAGTTTAGAAAATCATATGATTGGAGGTTTTCTATATCTTTATTTTTTTCTCCTCTTTTCCCCTATCAGTTGTAAAGGGAGGGTAGTTAGAAGAGACAATCTTATAGCATTAACTGGTGGTCATGGATCAATCGGAGCAGGCACAACAGCAGCAGCAGCAAAAGCATGTAGTAGGCGTTGCAGCTGCCCCTGGCCAGATGGCCTATTCTACTCACTACCAGACTGCTCCCATGGTAGCATCTGGAACATCTTCTGTAGCCGTAACTTCCCCAACACAGCCTCCAGCTCCCTTCTCGAATTCCCCTCACCAAATGGCATACCAGCAAGCACATCATTTTCACCACCAGCAGCAGCAGCAGCAACAGCAGCAGCTTCAGATTTTTTGGGCTAACCAAATGCAAGAAATTGAGCAGACAACTGACTTCAAGAATCATAGTCTTCCACTTGCAAGGATAAAGAAAATAATGAAAGCTGATGAGGATGTCCGGATGATCTCAGCGGAGGCACCAGTCATATTTGCAAAAGCATGTGAAATGTTTATCCTGGAGCTGACTCTGCGATCATGGATACACACGGAAGAAAACAAGAGGAGAACACTACAGAAGAATGATATAGCGGCTGCAATTTCAAGGACTGACGTATTTGATTTCTTGGTTGATATTATTCCAAGAGATGAGTTGAAAGAAGAGGGACTTGGTGTGACAAAAGCTACAATTCCAGTTGTGGGTTCCCCTACTGATATGCCATATTATTATGTCCCACCACAGCATCCTGTAGGGCCTACTGGGATGATCATGGGAAAACCAGTTGACCAGGCAGCACTATATGCCACCCAACAGCCTCGACCTCATATGGCGTTCATGCCGTGGCCACAGACACAACCTCCACAACAGCCACCGCACGATCAGCAGCAAACAGACACTTGACAACTATGGTCGATCAAATTAGAAAACGGAATGCATGTTCTGATTGCTAATGATTAACTTCAAGCCTTTATGCGGCAGTAATTTAGTCCTCTCCATTGCTAACTGCGAAGTCCTAGACACATATATGCAGTGCTTGCACTGCATTAAATTTGTGCTTGTATGAGCTCTTATCTTGAGCTTTTATGTGGCTGAGTTTGCTTTCAGTTATTGGTATGGTAGTTACATTAATTTGGGGTAGTACTTATGCAGAGTTTAGGGAGTCTGGAGATTGGCGGGAAAAGGTTGTATTTTGTAGTGTGATTTTACTGGAGGCTGGTTGATTTCTACATTCCATTCCATTGTGATGGATAGTTTTAAACTCATGATTCAGGTCTTATCAGTGCCTCCTCTCGAGTTCGTTTACCTTTTCTCTAGCAAGCTGGTACGTTTGTTGTTGTTTCTGGGTAACAACAATTGTTAGTTCTCACCCGAAAATAATCTGTTGTAAGTGTTAACTTGGGTTCTGAACCGGGACAAGACCTTATTCTCATGGGGTTAGTCTTTCAACCTATGCAGCATTTAGACTTTCTTTGCTGGAAGATGCTGAGTAAACTTGATCCCTGCAGAAGGAAGTTGCTTGGGCAAAGTAGAGGGTTGGAAATTTTGAGATCTAAGTGTCGTGCAGGTTGAAAGATTAGTTCTATGATGTTAGGTTGCTGTAACTTGTTTTCGTTTTTAATTTTCAGCATGCCGATAGTATTAGGAAAAAAAAAAAACTGTTACTTGGGTTTTGAATGCTGGACCTATAATTTTTTTTCCCATTAAAATTGAAAATAATCTGTTTGTGAGGATTGGAGAAAGATGATTATGATTTGTTCTGTTCATAATAGCGTCGTAAGTTCATTAGTGGTCACTGAATCTATTTTGTCATCATAGCTTAATCCCATTCATTCTTCTTTGAATTTTCACTGTGAAACTAGGAATCTAATCATGGAACCAAGATGCAATTGTAAACTTGAAAGGAAAACGTGACAAATAAGAAGTAGAGTTTGTTCATTGATGGTCTGATGCTGAAAATTGGATGAAGTCCATCACTGAAAAATAATGCGTAAATATACTTTCTGTTCAAAACTAGGCCACATCATTTTTATTTCCCTTCTCACTCCTCCTCATGGCATTGACATCGCAATGAAGAACAGTGCTATTGATCAATGTTTTTTTCCCCCTTGTGGGGAGCTCTGATATCAATCTTATTCCCAAAAAAAAAAAAAAAAAACACATGGACTGCTGTTTGGTACTCTTAACAAAATGCTAGAACAGGTGAAAGGTGACGGTGAAGAAGGAAAAGATTAGAGCAATTAAGTGGGTGGGAGGGAAATAAGTGAAATAAAGCTTTTCTCTCAAAATCTTTCAGAAAGAACACTTAAAAAGAGAAAATATGGTAAGTTTCATGTTCAATTTTTCTCTCTCTATTTTTCACTCCTCTCTCTTTTCTCTTCTCACCTAAACAATTTTTCTCCTCATTTTCTTCCCTAATTTTTTTGCTCTCATATTTTCTTTCCAACTAAATAGATCATTAAGCAAATTTAAAAGCAAGCACAATATACAACTATTATTTTTCATTTTATTTTTTAAGAAAAAATATTATATAATTTACTTTTTTTGAATGGATTATGATTTACTCTTTTAAAAAATAAAATATTTCATTAAGCATGCATACAATGAACCAAAATGTATATAATTAAACATGCAAGCAATCTTAACCCTTATTTAAATTGAATTTAAGGAATTATTTGACATTTGGAATAAAATGAATTAAAATAGATAAGAGACTGAAATAAAAATTTATATTTCAAAAAATATTAGTAAATAATAATAGATATATTACATATCTCGTTTTTATATGCCCATACAAAAATCTCTCGAGTTTTTAATGTAATAATTACCTGAATGAATCTTCCATTGATGGAAAACAATCAAGTTGACGAATTCAAGTTATAGCTAGGCTAACATTCTAATTCTCGTTCTGCGTCCAGCCCCAGAATACTTGGTGAGGGAAGAAGCGAAGACTATTGCTATGGCGTCACCATTTAAGCCAGATGTATTGAAGGGCAAGGTTGCTCTTATCACAGGAGGAGGCTCAGGAATTGGATTCGAAATATCCACGCAATTCGGCAAACATGGTGCCTCCGTTGCCATCATGGGTCGTCGCAAGCAAGTTCTCGACTCTGCTGTCTCTGCTCTTCAATCACTTGGAATTCCGGTAATTTATCCTTTTTGGGAATTGATTTTGTGATTCTGCCCGTGGTCTTGAATTTTTATTTTTCGGGTCAACCCTTCGTCTTGAATGTTGAACTCCTAGTTTCTCATCGGATCACTCGGATTAATCAAATTCCTTCCTATTTCTGTAGTCCGCAACTTTGACCCATTTTGGGATTTGTTCGATTCTCTGGAAATAAAAAGTTTAAGAAAAACTGGAACTTTCGATCCAGTAAGTTAGATGATCATTGGAATTTAGTTTATATTAATGAATTACGAAGCAACCAGTAGACATATTAGGAACACTATCCCATACGGATCTCTACATGACATAATGAGTTTAAAAGTAACTTGTCAAGGATAGTTGAGCTTGCAACTTGCAGAAGTGTTGTCTCGTAGCTGAAAAACGGATCTTTCCTTGTAACCAGGGCCTTTCGTGCAATTAGTGATGGTTAACATGTCTTCATGCTGGAGTTAGTAATTGAATTGAAATGAAAGGTCGATTCACTGGGCTTACATAAAAGAAGGCTATCCGAGTTGTGCATAGTTAGTAGTAATCTTGTAGCAAAAGAATTTCACTGAAGTGACTTTTTTATTATGGTTATTTGCTTATTACAGGTTTATGAAGCAAACATCAAAAGGAATGCTAACCTCGAAAGTGATTATGCAATATGTATCCCCCTCCCCTAACTACATCACATTCTTTACTTGTTATTCAATGTCTATTATCAAGTGAGCCACAGGAATATCTATTTATTATGTTTCTGATTGTTGTCTGTCCCTTCATCTCTTGAGTAGCAGATTGTGCATGTTCCTATGATTGGTGACATGATGCTTATTTAGGAAAGGCTAAAAGCATCCATTGATTCATCAGTTTATGGATCACTATTCTTATGCAGTTTGTTGAAATGTCAATAGAGATAACATTTTTGTAATATATGTGGTGGAAATGGTCATTGATGACTTTTTCGTGCAATCTAAATCATTTGAGTATTTACTTAGGCTATTGGATTTGAGGGGGATGTTCGCAAGCAAGAAGATGCAGCAAGAGTTCTGGAATTGACATACAAGAATTTCGGAAGGATTGACATTCTTGTGAATGCTGCAGCCGGAAATTTTCTAGTGTCAGCAGAGGATCTCTCTCCTAATGGATTTCGAACAGGTTGTTTTACTTTAAGAATTTTGTCGTGAATTTTTTTTTTTCTCAGTGTGAGGATACTGGCATAGCATGAGTCTGAATCCTCTCCCATAACGGAGGGAATGCAGTGATGAAAGAGAAGAGATAGGGGTGGTACCCACTGCATCCCTTCATTAATGTTCAGCAAACCTTGTGTCTGGTAATTAAAAAATGATATGGAGATGCATTTGCTTGTTAACAAATGTCTCAATTTTCTGTTTATATTCATAAAGATTAGAATTTAGAAAGAAGCAAGGTATTTTTTGGGGAACCTGAATAGCAGAAGTTCTGGTTTTCTGCAAATAAATACGAGTGAAAACATCTGTTTTCTTACAAAATGAAGTGCTGAAATTCACCGTCTATAATAGTCCCAGAGAGAGAAAGGAGAAAAGAAAAGAATCTCATCTAAATTTCGTGAAAAAGAAGGATGAGGAGGAAGTTTTGTTTTGTTTTTTTTTTCTCAGTACCTCTTTAACGGGGTGCCTTTTTTTTTTTTTTTTTTTTTTGGTGGTTACTAAGGGTACCCTAGAAGAATTTTTTCTAGTGAGTATGCAAAGAGGCTTGCAAGATTGGCTTGATTAATGTGACTTTTTCTCAATGGATTTATGCCTTTTATTTTCACTTCTTTTTTTATTCTAAATTATTTGCAAGTGTTAGGTAGTGAACTGAACATGCAGCAAGAACTTGAATCCTGAGAATATATGGTATAATCAGTAAAGTTTGGATGCATATGCTCCTCTTAGGCTCTATGGTCTTTATTATACGTATGAAGCACTCATCTCGTCGCACTATTAAACATCCTGGTCACAATCTATGATCAAATATGAATGTTGAAATGCTGCACAACTTGCAATTGAATTATTGCTCAAGTGGTGATGTGATGAGGGATGAGAAGAAATATTTATATTCTACTTTCTCTGGTCTTATTTGTTAGTGACTTCCAACATGTTTCACTGGAACCAAGAAAAATTTTAAATTTCATTAACTTTGTTTTAAAATTTAACAAGTTTTCACTTTTACTCCTAATAAATATTCTTAAATTCCATTACTGGTATTTTTATTTAAAACATTTAATAAGGGAAAAAATGTAAAGAGGAGCATTGGAAAATGATAAGTGCCCTATAAATGGGACCAAATTTTTTCTTCTTTCTCTGCCCTATAAATAGAATCAGAGGGGTACTTCCTATCTTCTAGAAACACTGGTATAGTGGTGATACCAAGTTTAGAGTTTAGAGGTTGTAGCTATGTCAGTATTGATGGGACGTCAACTATGGCACTGCCAATAGTGACAGTGTTAATGAGATACAGGCAAGAATAACTGCAAGAGAACTTTCTCAGAGGCTACAGCAAATGCGCTTAAAACCTACAAAAAGTTAGCAGTTTCTTGCCCAGATAAAATTATATTTCTCTATTAACCTACAAAAAGTTTAGTAGTTTCTTGCGTAGATATAATTTTATTTCTGCTAGTGTGCATGAGAAGCCCTAAAATTGGAGACACTTAAGTGACCTTAAGTTATCCTTGTTAAAATCGGGGCCATGCATACTCTGGTTCTCCAACTAAAGAATCCCAGATTGCCTAAAGAAGGCATTCATCAAGGAGGATGGTATTATGTTAAGGTTAAATGTGTCATTGTGTTTTAGGCTACAAGTTATTCCAAGTCTCCAAGACCTGTTTCTACATAGCAAGTTGAGTCATGGTGCAGCTTTTTCTTAAAAAAAAAAAAATTTGTTATTGGACAATGCTGCAGTCTATTAATTATGCTTATTAGGTACAAGAAAGGAAGTATTGATCCAACCTAAATTTTGTTTGCAGTTATGGATATTGATTCTGTGGGAACATTTACCATGTGCCATGAAGCTCTAAAGTATCTAAAGAAAGGAGGAGTTGGAAGGGGCTCTTCTGGTGGGGGTACAATACTGAACATTAGTGCTACCCTACACTATACGGCTTCTTGGTATCAAATTCATGTGTCTGCAGCTAAGGTTTGTATTTACTTTTAATGCATCATGTATGTTAGT